AATAATATGAGTCATTTGTGCGGAGAGTCACTACACAACGGGAGTATACTACGGAGGAAGGCACGGGGTTGTGTGGGTGATCGTAGCGTTGCACTAGGCGTTCTCACTGCTTGCTATGTTCGTAGAGAGATATGGCAAGAATTCCACTAAGAAATTGAAAGAACATTAGATTACAATGAGGCATGCAAGTCGATATAGCTAGAATGGCATTGCAACACCTAGCAAGCCCTCTGCAAGGCAAACTATGCCAGCGCTGCAGAAGCGCGGCTTGCCACCGCTGCAGCAGAGTAGTCTGCCAGCGCGGTATAGCTGCGGTCTGCCAGCGCGGTATAGCAGCGGTCTGCCAGCGCCGCAGAGGCAGGTGAACTTCTGCGCATGTGCGCACCTACCAAGTAGGTGCAGGTAGACGGACGCGCCGCCAGGCACATTGCACAGGTGCCAGGTAGAAAACGTGCCGACGGTTTCGCCAGCGATGCACCGTCGAGCACGTGATGCCATTCCGCAGGTTGACTTCGCGAAAACCTCTTGGGCGACATTCGCCCGTATGACGAATTTCGCAGTCGCGCGACTTCGTAGAGCGGCTCGACGAATGCTCCGCCAAGCAGCTTTCGCCTAGACGAGCCCTCTGCCAGCCTCGTCGAGGAGCTCCTATACCGGCCTTGTAGAAGAGCTCCTATACGAACCCCTCGACCCGTCCTATACGAGCCCGTCTTCTGCCGACGACTTCTGCGGACTGGTCGAGGTCGTCTTCTGCGCGCCCCCGACTGCGAAGTCTGCTTCGCCCAAGCGAGGGCGGAGCTATTCCCGTCAACAATTTGTGCGAAAATGAGGTAGGTGGCGGATGCTTGTGCGGGAGAGAGTCAGGCGTAGAGTGGGGGTAATGAAGATAGATGCTTCTAGAGCATGGAGGTGTGCTGATGTGTCGTAAAAAAATACGGTCGATTTCTGATGCAGGCAAGAGCACAACAGTGATTGGTTAGTAAATAATCATTAGGTTTGACCACTTCGTTACGGGTAAGCTAAACCTTGGTCCTTGGAAGCCACGTCAGTACCCAAAATCTGAACACTTAGCACTGATTGGGTGTGACTGTGAACCCCTTGTGCCTGTTGCCAGTACGGATTCCTGGTTGTACCTTGGCGACGGTCGTCCGGTTTTGTATCAACGTTACAATGCTCGCAACTTTCGAGAAAGCTAACCTATTTTGTGCCAAGTGTTCATCGATCGGACATCAGCAGTTTCACAGCAAGGGGGACTCCCAATTTTTGGTCATGACCAGGTGTGATGTTCGGTGCCAAGGTTTCGAACTTGATGCTAGAAATGTGCAGTCCGAGAAACCCACGAATCCAAAAATCCCGCCTAGGGTACCCCACGTACCCAAAATTCGCGGCTCGGTTACCCCTTGTATTCGGA